AAAAAAAAAATTAATAATAATATTAAAACAAAATTTTCTATTTCCAATTTTTTTTTAAACCATAATTAATGCAGTTTTTATTAGGGCATCTTTAACAACAAACCTCCATAAACCTCCTTTTACACTTCCCAACATGACACATCATCAAAAACCTTATTCTTACTCCTACAATCATAAACCTTCAATAACAATAAACCTCATAAACCTACTTTTTAATGGGTCCCACAAGTTTTTCACTTATTTTTAATTAATATTATACTTTTATAGTTTTAATAATATTATAAAAATATAACTCCTCTTTTATTTTAATTCAATCCAAATATTTCATTATTTTATCATAAATTCATATACAAACATAATATAGATATATTGCGTTATTTATAATTATTAATAATAATTATGGAGCATTAATTACGTACCAATGTAATGTTATCTTTAAATTATTTACAAAGCATAGTAATTATAATGTTGAAAACTAAAATTAAATTTTTATTTAAAATTTTATGAATAAAGACAAAAAAAAAATTCTAATGGAATTGAAACATTGACTTATAGAAATTCAATAAAGTAGTATATAACATTTGTTATACAATTATAAAATTAATAAAAGAACTAAATATAATTTATTCTAAAATAATAGAGATTTTTTATCCTCACATTCATTAAGAAAAGAATTAAAATATGTTTTTATTGCAAACAGTTATGTTTTAGATGTTTCAAGAATAAAAATTAATTGAAAAACAAAAAAAAAAATTAAAGAAATTAAAGAGAAAAAAAAAAGTGGGACGGCACCAAGAATTAAATATTAATTAAAAAACAAAAAATGGAATAAAAATAAAAAGAAGGCAAAGAGGTGGGAGCTTGGCAGGGCTTGGCAGGAGGTGGGCCATCCATTGCAATATGGTGGTCAATCAATTCTCAGTGAGTACCTTCCACGCGCTGCAAACTAAAAGAGTGGATGTGAGTCGTGATTTTCAAACTCCTATCAATAATTTTTATTTCTTTTTTCAAATAGATTTATTACAGCTTTTCTGGAGGTTTGGATATAGAAACCGGGTTTGAGTTTTTAAACCTTAAACCTGTCAACTTTAGTGGTAAACCTTAAGGTTTACAATTTTAAACCTCTCCCAAAACCTCTTGTTAAAGATGCTCTTAGTCGATTGTGGCGCTGGAGTGCGTCATTCGTCTGTGGTCGGTAATCAGTGATCTGTCAATTTTTATTGTTTAATAATTTATTCAATTTAATTGTAATTATTGCTTTTGGGTATTACTGAACTATATGTTATAACTAAATAAATTCAATTATTTATAATAAAAATCGTACATTAGTTGGGACGCAACAAAACTGTGAAAGGGTCCAAAATATTAGCGTGGACCAAAAATTTATTTTCATCAAGAGAGAAAAGTTGTCTTTCGTCATTTATGATTTTATTAAATAACAATAAAAAAAGATTTGGGTCTCTAAACTTACATAGTTAGATTTAAAGAACACTATTACTTCATGTGATAAGGTTAAGTAAAATCAATATACCATCGAAGAATACTGCAATGAGTCTATGGTCTACAAAGAGGGCGGGACCAAATGGATTAGTATTAAGGAAGGACACCAAAATCTGTGTATACCATCGAATAAGGGTGTAAACAAGTCGGAGAGTCGAGTTAACGAGTCAAGTTTTGCTCGGCTCATTAATAACTTAACTAGTCAGTAATTGAGTTCGAGCTCAGCTTGTTTATCAATATTAACAAGCCGAATTAAGAAATTATGTACAAATGCTTATTTATGTGCATTAGCTATAGTCGAGTGGAACCCATCTTGTTAACTAAACAGGCTCGAATTCGATCGCTTATCAATCAAGCCGCCCGAGCTCGAGTACTGACGAGTGGAATCAAACGGAATTTACGAGCGAGTCGTTTTATTTAACAGAAGGGTCAATGATGTCTAGAGAATAAAAAATAAGGGGACATTGTCTCGATTGCGTCTACAAATCAACCATGATAAAGTTTTAGGGTAAATTGCACCAAGCCCCCATGTGTTATACGAAATGTGCGCGTTACTACCCTGTGTTTTAAAAACTACACTAGACCCCCTTATGTTTATGTACGTGTTGCACGCGCTCCCGTTTTTAAATTTTCCCATTAACGGCGTTAGTTTTTTATCCAAAGCCCCGTTATACCCTTTGAATATTATATATATATATTTATGATAAATTGAATTTATCGCGATATATTCAATATATCGCGAGAAATTAAATAAAAAAAAAAATCTGTCTCTGAGAGACAGACCCTAAGACCTCTTGAAAGCAATGCAAGTTGTGTAACCACCACACTACTCAAAGTTGAGTGCTAGTTGTAGTAAAGTTTAATATATATCACATTACATATGGATAAATGAAATTAAATTTAGAAGATAATGTAAATTATATAAATTATAATAATATTTAATGTATTTAATGTATTTATAAACAGAAAATTATAATGTATTTAATGTATTTATAAAATTATAATCTATATATATATATAATTGCTAGCATGTAGCATTTAATAAAACCTCTAAAATTTTCCCTCCATTTTCGGTTACAAAATTTACCATTAATATTTTTTTTTACTTCTCATTAATACATCCTATTAAGTGTAATCATGTATTTTTCTATTATATTATATAATAGTTATTGCCAGTACCAACTAATAATAATTTACAATAAATATAAATTACATAACTATAAACAATTGTTTCAAGTTATTTATATTAACATCAATTTATCTTTTTCTTTCGTTTCTCATGAAAAAAATTTCTTTAAATACAATTAGTAATGATTATAAACAATTGTTCATAATGATGAAATCGTTAATTTATTTTTTCTAATGATCAATTTTTTGAAAATGTAATAGGTTCATTGTCTAGAATTTTAATATCAAATTCTCAAATATTACTTATAATATTTCATGTACATCTGTGCATGTGCACAAGGTATCAACTAGTTATATTATAACAAACAGAAAATAATTAAAATAAAATTATAAATAAATATAAAAAATATAATTATATTATAATAATATTTAATGTATTTATTTTATATTATTTTTATATATTCTTATATTTTATTATTTATTTTAATTTATATTAAGTTATTATTAAACAAACAGAAAATAATCAACCTAAAACTATAAATAAATATAAAAAATTATAATTATATTATAATAGTATTTAACGTATTAATTTTTAAATTATTTTATAATAAAATTAATTTTTTTAATAAATATGTTTTAGAAATTAAAATTATTTATTTACATTAGAAATATTTACTAAAAAATTATAATTTATTTTCAAATTATTTATTCATATTGTATGTAAGAGAAAACCATAATATAATTATTTGATGAATAATATTTTTTATTTTCTTATATGAATTTAATATTTATATTTACTTAATTTATTATTTCATAATAGGTTACTTTATTTATTATTTATTTTGCTTTATCATTGTTTTAATTTATTTATTTTATAATTATTATTTTTATATTACTTTAATTAGTTTATTTTAATTTTATTTATTTTTTAATTCAATTTTTGTATTAGATTTTCATTTAAAATTTATTTATTTAATTTATTTTGATAACTAAAATGTAAATTTATTAAATTTTAATTTCACGCTATTATATTATATTTTGTCTTACTTTATTTTAATTTAATTTTTTATTATTTTATGTTAATCTAATTTCTTGGAAGTTATTTTAGTATTAATTATTTAATTTATAG